CAAGGCTTTACCTGGGGGTTTCCAGAAAAGCAGGTTTAAGACGGTTTACCGCCGCCCCTGAAAACCTCTCACCACTGCTTTCCAGTAAGCTCTTGTGTTTGTGCGTCACCTTACGGCTCAGCCGCCCATTACATCATCAGCAGCCGCTTATGGCAACAGTTTTTGACACCCCTTTTCTACCCCGGATCTGTTTCCCAAGCGTTCAGAGCGTTCCCCATAGAGCCGGCATTTCTCCTTATTGAGTTATGTACGCTCACTGAATCTGCAAGTAATTGAACCAACTTTCGCAGGCCTTTCGTCAGTTTTGAAGGGTTTTTAATTCCTCTACGTCGCCTTCTTTTTATGCCTTTTGGTTGTGTATATACTCAAGGTTATCGTATGTATTTTATCGTATGTATTTACTCTTTTACAGGAGAGGAGGTTATGTTCGTTCATTGCATCGACGCTAGTGGAAACTGTTACAGAGGAAAAACCCGAAGTTTTGCAGATACTGTTGCGCATGTGGCAGGTATTGTAGACCGCTGTACAGCTCTGTTCTGCAGCTGATGTTTTTCTTTTCTTTTCTTTGCTGAAATATCTCTCAAGTTTGTAGTTGTCTTGAAAACGGAAACTATCACAGGCTCTCAAAAAAACAGGAGTCGGAGGAAAAAGGATGAAGAGGTGGTTGGGGTAGGGGAGGAGGGGGCGGGATGCGTCACGGTTTCCGGGGAATTCAATATCTAAGCTTAGCTTTCTTTTCTCGTGGTTAAATATCGTTTGTGTTGTTAATGAGTGATTGTTGGGTGTTTCGATTGTAGATTGTTCATAATTTGGAGTATGAACCCGACCCAGGCTCTGTCTGGCAGATGAAGCTGGCCGTAACATTCTACAAGAAAGTGTTCTCAAGAATTTCTACGCGCATGCGTAGGAAGGTATGCTTAGTGAAACAAGGGTGTGAACTCTCAACAAGAAGTAATCTACATCTGTCCCATTGTCATCGTAGATTGTCCACTGTTAATCAAGAAACTACTTTTGCACTTGTCGGTATTCTAGAAGTCTAGTGAACTCTTACTTTATTCCACAATTTACTATTTAGTAAAATTATGAAATCTGTTTTCGTCTGGTGCGATTTAGGAATGGTGTTATGTGTTATTAACAATTCAACTTTAAGGATTTGATTTATACTTGTCTCGTCTTGTTGCCTCACCTTTGCTCGCAAATTATTTGAGAGAATTTGCTCTCGTATCAAGATTTCTCGTTAAATGGTGGGACTGTGTATTCTCATAGCCCTTTTCGTGGGAAATGAGTTGATATTGTTAATAGAATTTACATGAATCGCGTGTAGAAGTGGGTGAAATCAGAGTTGATACCCTTTTGCCTAAAACCGTTAATGGGTTGCCAAAAACTGTCTTTTTTTCTCCAATTTTAGCCTCTAATTAGTGGGGACTTCATTGAAGAATATAAGTTCCTTTTAGAAGAATCCATCGACCGCCTTATGAATAAAAGTAAGTTACGTTTCCTCTTCACCCAGTTTTGAGTGCGAACAAAGAAAGATTTTACCTCAAGTGATTGTTGAACGAGGTCAAATTAGACCCAAAATCTATCGTCATGTAGTGGTTAATCACATTTTTTGGCGCACAAAGCCGTTTACGTGTATAAATCTACGTCTTTGAGTAACGTTGGTTCCTCCTATTCTACGATACCTGTATTAAGCGGTCAGCGACGGGGAAAGGCAAGGTGGCCGTTTAATACAGGTATCGTAGAATAGGGGCAATACTAAAAAAGATAAAAAACGCTACTTAATGTAAAGAAAAAAGAAACCTCGCTCAAAAATACTGCTAAAATTGATTTCAGAAGAGGAATATGGATTAAATTTTACTTGAAATATTATTCTTAATTTTATTTGAGTGGTTTCGCTTTACGTGACCGTTCAATACAGGTGAAGACAATAAAAACGTGCCGTTGGGACTCACTCAAAGGTGACCACGCCTGCTCAAAAGATGTGACCGTTTAAATGGGTAAAATTACAGTGTTTAAAGGGCAACAAATTTGGGATTATCCAACACAGGGTGACCGCTTAATACGGTGTCGCTTAAAACAGGTTGGAGGGTATTTATCTTTCTTCTGTTGGCCGTTTTGATTACCTTGGTTTTGGCTGAACGACACTACAAGAAAAAGCGCTCTAATTTTGATATTTTTAGAGGGGAATGGGTGAAAAAAGGAAATATAGGTAAGCTGAAACATTGCTGTTTTTGTTTTAAAGATTCAATATTAGCAAAAGACTGTTATAGTGCTGAGGAACAAAAGCGAAAATTCTGTCCAGCGGTGTGTTGTTTTGCCGTATATCACGACGTCCCGTTGCCGCGCAGTTTACCATCTTTACTCCAGCAAGGTGACGTTTGTAATTCGTTTTTCATGTATACCTCCCTAGTTCGTTTCTTCGTGAATTTTTTCTCCTTCGATTAATTTTCTCGCCTAGCTTGAATCCAAGTTTGATTTTGATGTGAGTAACCCCTGAAGCAACTATGTTGTTTGAAAGTGTTCCGTAAATGTTTCAAATTTCTCCTTTAGTGAGGACGGTAACACGGTTGTGGAACAATTTTGATTGTTATCAGCCAGTTTTAAGCGCTAAAAAGGCAGTGGGAGCGCCATTGTAAACCAGTGGGCGGTGGAAAAAGAGAAAATTCTGCGTTTTCCTCAGTAACTGGATAGTAGGCGGCTGCGCGTGTGGAGACTTTCCGCGGCATAACGCACTGTCCGTACGTCCCAGCATCTTTCTGAGACGAGGTTACGTTTCCTCCTGTTTCAGCGGTTTTGATGGGCTAAACTACCCCTTTAGTTCATTTAGCTTCAATGTAAAATTTACAATAACTGCTGTGTGCTTCCACGCCAAGCCGTTGAATAGAAGTGAGGTTAAAGCTAACTCCATCTTGATATAAACATCATGACTTCAAATAAAAATCACTTTGTTATTGTTTGAATTCCTTTCCTCTATCATTGTAAAGTCACTTCTAGTCTCGCTGCCATTTAGAGGCTTGGTTGCATTTCACGTAACTGAACTAGAATATTGTCGGTTTTGCTTCCACAGGCAATGTTCCCAGTCTAGCAGAGATGTTGCAGGGTACAGAAGATCTGCCACTGACATTAACTGCAATGCTGAGACTGCAAGCCCAAAGCTAGTTCCTTTCCTTGCTTTTGCAAAGAATCTATTCAACTGCGTGACGGTGGTATGAACAACAAAGAAAATGCTCTTTTTAAGCTGTAAACTTTCGGTTAAAATGCTCAGCTAAGCTAACCCGGTTGGTTAAGAAAAGTAAAGGACTAGGGCCTGGGACGAGTGTATTCTCGAGTTGCTGAGAACTAGAGACAGGAAGGAAGAGTCAGCGCTCTCTTCATTTCTGTTTTCCTTCTTTCTTTCACGGCCCGTTTTCATGCTTTCTTTCACCTGTTCCAAACAATTTGAGAAAATAATATGTACAGAATAAAACGTTATTTGAAAAAGTACACGGTTTACAATTCTCCATTTTTTTAATGCACATGTCCGGAAATTCAAGATCGAATGACATATAATTATTAATGTAGGATTGAGAAGAGGCATTCGCCTTGAACATCCATCGATCATATGAGACACAAAGAAGTTCATTTACCTCTGAGCCTCTGCAATTTTTAGGAGGATTTGTGTTTACAAGATGAAAGCACCGTTTTACCTTTCCCCGAACGTGTGTCTTCAATATTTCTCTCTTTATTTGGTTGCTAGGCGTTTCGCTATGCATCACAGCCCCCTTACACCCCCTCTGCCAAGCCTTTTCCTCTACCACACTATGTTCTATTCCTTCTTATTACTTAGTACTTACGGGTTTTATCCTCGTTCTTGTTGAATCCTTCGTCCTATAGAAATTTCCCGTTTTGGACCAGATAGGTTTTCATTTGAGGCCTCCTGTTCAGCTAGTGGATACCCTCTGAGCTCTGGCAGCTATGATCTCCGCTAACTTCGTTGTTTTTTTAGTGTCTCCAGTCTTTACCTGCCATCAAAACTGCGTAAAGATTGGCACTAGAGAATTTTCGCGCCATTTTGTCGAACAAACCAACATGGCTGCTACGATTAGAGGGAAAATAGTTTCAACGTTCAAATTACATGGCCTTTCGCTCAAAATAGACGCATCTAAATTCCTCGCAGAGGTTTTAGGTTCCTTGACTGAGGTTGAGTTAGAAGATTGGCTGGATAAAATTGTGGAGGGAGTCCAAAAACAACCACTAACCACTTCACTTGTCGACCGTGATGTAGTCGAACAGGCCGTTCAAGAATGTAGTCACACCGCTGAAGACGACAGCGATCACGCGTTTACCTTCATTGATGCTTTCAGCGTGCCAATATTCTCGTTTAACCCTGACAGAAAAAAGTTTCTACCGCATAACGATGTCAGTTCTCTTCACGCACATAACCCGAACGCCAAATCCATGGTGTTCCGAGAGAGGTACAGAGTACTTCATCAACGAACCATGAGGCATGAATTATTCTCGCCGGTTGTAGAGGGAGCTAATCAGAGTCAAGTGGCGGAGAAGTTTGCTCTCAAGCCCGTAGAATTCCTGCTAGGGAGTACTGCAAACCTGGGACAGATAATTGTGCTGGGAATGCTGACACAAATCAAAGAGGGCAAATATTATCTGGAAGATCCTTCTGGTGTTGTGGAACTCGATATGCGTCAAGCCAATTTCCACACTGGTCTGTATACAGAGAATTGCTTCGTGCTTGCTGAAGGAACTTACGAAGATGGTGTATTCCGCATCAAAGCCTTAGGTTTTCCCCCAGCAGAGCCAGGAAAAGTGACCAGAAATCATTTTGGTAATGTTAATTTCTTCGGCGGCCCTTCCTCCACCAGTTTAAAAGCATCAGAAAAGCTTAAGGCCATAGAAAGAGAGAACCACAATGCAATGTTTGTGATCTTGTCAGATGTATGGCTGGACCAGCCAAAGGTTATGGAAAAGCTCCGAGCCTTATTTTCAGGATATTCAACCATGCCACCAGCCATGTTCATTCTGTGTGGAAACTTCACCTCTGAGCCATATGGTCCTAAACACTATCACACTCTCAAAGCGTCATTCCAGGCTTTTGCCAAGTTGGTGGCAGAGTTTCCACCACTGACAGAGAATAGCCGTTTTGTGTTCATACCTGGGCCACAAGATCCAGGACCTGGAAACATTCTTCCAAGACCCCCAATCCCTATGGTTTTCACCTCAGCCATCACTGAAAAAATCCCTATGAGTGTATTCACTTCCAACCCTTGCAGAATCCAGTACTGTACCCAGGAGATTGTTGTTTTCAGAGAAGACCTTGTGAACAAAATGTGCCGCAACTCAATCAATCTGTCATCAGACTTGAAAGACATCCCTGTTCAGTTAATGAAGACAATCTTGGCACAGGCCCACATTTGCCCTATCCCACCCCATGTCAGGCCAATTTACTGGACTCAGGATCACTCTCTCAGGGTGTATCCTGTTCCAGATCTGATGATTTTAGCCGACAAGTATGATCCATACACCTGCTCTAGTTTAGAATGTGTCAGTACAAATCCCAGCTCCTTTGCAAGGAATGAGTTTGCTTTTAAAGTGTACTGGCCTTCAACTAGGGAGATTGAGGACTGTAAGATCAGTGACTAATGTTTGTTTGAGGTGAGAGTACGATTCAGCAAAGGAATGTTGTGTAAAGTGAATTAGTGATCACAAATACTGGAAAAAAGACTGTATTGAACACAGTGTTACATTACTTTGTAAATAGGAACCGTCTCACTTTGGGTGTACTTCTATGTTTCAATACCAAGTGGGAAAGTTCCCCATACAGATGCAACTGATGTGAAGGAATAAATTTACTTATTATATCTCTCATTTGGTACGTGTACCATGATTGGTCAATTTATTGGGCTGTATGTCACTTCATAGTGTGCTAAATTAAAGTCTGTTTGAATTAAAATCTTCCCCTTGTTATTTGAAACCTGAGATATGATAGATATCCTGCTGACCTAGTTTTGTTGTTCCTTGCTGCAAATTAAGGAACATCAACATCATCATTTTCATGCAAGCTTTGTGCTTGAACTTTAAATTAGAGGGAAAAAATTGGTCAGTAACTTACAATATGGAATAAGAAAAGGAGGTTTATAAAAGGTATATCAGACTGAGTTTAGCAAGTTGAGAAACTTTGACTTTCCTATTGACAGTAATTAAATAATGAAAGCCAAGGCCAGTCTTGCAGTGAAAAAATCTTTCCAGTGAAATTTATAGCATCTGGTATTTGTGCTTGATTTAGATTCCAAGGTTAAAGTACTATGATTGCATTATTGTAATATAACGTTCATCCTCGTAAAGATGAGTTGCATACTCTGCAACATTCAGTGCTTTTTCATGAACTGATTACCATGTCAAAGTGAATATCAACTGTGTGATTGTTTGGAATATTATTTTAAAGTCTTCTTTAACTTCAATTTCTAACCAACTGTGATTCCTGAATGAAAAGTGCATGACCTAAAAAGCAATATTATTGCAAAATTCTTGTAAAAGCACTGAAATGGTAAAATAAAAATAACAAGACAACAGATGGTGCAAAAAAATATATATCTATCGAATCTTTTAGCTTTTTCTTACCGAATTGTGACAAGAAAATCCCCTCTAATTTTGGAGACAATGACTCGTTTAGCCGATGTAACTTACATTGCCTGTCACGCAAGTTTTGTCGAAGAATCACGCAAACAATCAACAGTCACGGAAGATTCATAACTCGACATGTTCACGTCAGTCACTTAGTTGACGAGCGAGAGATTCGAAGTAAAACGCCATGGGGACCGTAAAGGCCGGTTATCTCAACAAACTAAGTAAGTTTCTCTCGAATGAGAATTCTAAGAAGTAGCCGAAGTCAATAGAAACACAAATTCTTCTCATTCTTAGGCGGTTTCTTCAAGAATTCTTGGAAGAGAAGATACTTCGTTCTATACCAAGATGGCGTATTCTGTTATTACCAAGACTCAAAGGATAAGGAATGTGACGGTAAAATCCACATGAAAACAGAATGCCGACGAATAAACGTTGGCCAAGCCGTTGGAGAAGGAGTAAAGCCTCCTAAGGACAATGATTTAAATGCCATGTTCTGTGTTTCTTCGCCCGAACGGACGTGGTATCTCTACGCAGAGAGCGAGAGGGAAGCAAGGTGAATACCTCGCCAGTAACTTTGACAAGATTTGGGGCGTTTTTATCATTGATCTAAACTTCTTTGGGTGATCATTACATCTAAGTAGTTTTTTCATTAAAGCAGTTGTTTGACTTACATTTAGAAGTGACATCAGATCGGTCAAACAACTATTTTTTTTTTTTTATTCCGCCCTTCATAGCTTAATTATATGAAACTCGGTGTTCACATTTAGGATTAATTGTCTTTTTAGGAATCAAAGGGGTATGCTTTGGGTAAATAATATATATATTCAGTCACGTTAGAATCCTACAAGTGATGTAGTCAGTATAAAATGATGTCGCCCTCGGTCTTAAAATTTGTCCTCCATTCTATGTTTGCTACAAATTTTGCTTCCCATTCTTCAAAGTTTATTCCGTGTAGAATAATTTACTTGCATTCATAAGACAAACGAAAGCGGATGTTTCACTGATAGGAAAGGAAACCACTTTTTTCCGCTTATGTTTTATTTCATGTATTAAAATATTATCTTTTTCTCTGTCTGAATTAATTGTTGATTATTTTTGTTCCAGAGATTGGATTTCAGTCTTAGAACAAGCTAGGGTTCCAGTAAGTACAACTTATTTGTGACTCTAGTCAACTGAACTGCACCAATGTTTTGCACTAAGCAGAGTATATCACTACACATGCCACACTGTATATTTAATTAGGTGTAAGAATCAACAGCCAATGTCATAGTTCAGAATATGCTTCTTTTTTTATTTCTACCCAGCAAAAATTCAGATAGTTGATCAGGGCTCTTAGCTTAACTTTTTTAGGCTTGCCTATTTGCAATCTTAAATGTCCCTGGATGATTACTGCCAGAAAACAGTTATTTTTGAAGGATTTCTTATATCTTTTAGAGAACACTTTTTCTCTGTTGCCTCATCAGCTTATGTATGGTGGTCAACAGAACCCTCCTATGGCTGGTTCCTACCCTCCATACAGTGCTCCTAGCACTGCTGGATATGGAACAACAGCACCTCCTCGTTATGGAGCAACAGGACCTTCCGCAGGGTATGGTGCAGCAATGCCTCCTGCTGGGTATGGTACAGCATCACGCCCTCCACCAATTGGTTTTAATCCTTCAGTTGTTCAAGGAGCAGCACCATGTAAGATTTTATTACTCAAATATTAACTTAGTGGAAGTTGAGAGGTTCAGGTTTGAGTCTTTGAAAGGCCAGTATGTTGTGTGACAAGGCATGCAAGGCATATAACTCTCACAATACCTCTCTCTATCCAGGATTATAAATGGGTAGTGTCAAACAGTTACTGTCTTGGTGAATTGAGAAAATTCTGGGGAATAGCTTGCAAAAGAGTAGCATCCCATCCAGAGGGGGTAGGGATACTTCCTAGTCATGCAATAATACAAAATAATGGAACAAGCTCTGGTTGTGTTGGTCCTGGGGCTGGAGTGCTAATTGTACCTTTTTAAATTAATCTTTATCTGAAACAGAGACTCTCTCCTTTTCTTATAAAATTTCCAGATTTTTTTCAAGAGTTTCCAGACTTTCTATTATAAGGGGTTGACATGTCTGTGAAGTAGCACATTCATTGTTTTTATCTCGATTCATTTATGTCAACAGCTGGTCCCCCTCCGCCATATTCTCAGGGCCCTCCACAGCCCCAAGCAGCATATAGCCAGCCACCACCTTATCCCCGAGGGCCACCAGGAGCAGGATATGGACCTCCCTCTTACCCTCCTGCTAATGCCCCACAACAGCCAGGTTATCCAACACAGCCCCATCCCTACCCACAGCAGCCACCAGCAATGTACCCACAGCAAGCCCCTGGACCTTACCACCCAACCCCTCCTCCTGGTCACTATCCACAGCAGGCGTACTATCCCTCCCAAGGCACAACATACGTGCAGGGTGGCAAGCCACAGACTGTCTATGTTCAACAGCCTCCTCAGCAGCATCACAGCGGAAGGAACAAAATGATGATGGGAGCTGCTGCTGGTGTTGTTGGCGGAGCGGCAATGGGTTATATGCTGGGTCATACTGTAGGAGGGATTGGGCATCATGGCTTTGGGGGGTGGGGATCTGACCATTCATGGTCTTCAGGAGGAAGTTTTGACTGTGGTTTTGACTGAAAAAAATAATTATTCCGTGTAAGTTTAGGTCAAAAGACATTTGTTCTTCCATTAAAGTGCTTAACAGTCAAAGATAAAAAGAGAAAACAATGGGATGACTAGTTTTCTTAAATTTTTTTATATGTTGCCATGAATGATAGAACAGGTGGCTATGACCACAACCAGGCTTATACAAATACTACAACAAAAATTTCAGATTTGCAGTAAGACCACTAATAAGGGGTTTGAAAGCAGTGGCCACTGAACCCCATTTATAATCAACAATGTCTACCGGTAATTGCTTAAGAACTATTTCACGGGTTAGGTGCAATTACTTTTAAGACTAATAACTTTTTACAAAGACTCTGAAGTCAGGGAAGTATGTCACCATTTTATGCAGTGCAAAAAAACTGTTATTTATTTTACCTTTGTGGTAACTTGATTATAATTATTTATCTTGAAGTATTATCTTCAAAGATAAGGATGGAAGGTGCTTTCTGCGAATCGTCATTTCTCTAACGGGAGGCAGTTGACCTTTTCTAAGGAATCTGCTCACCCTTCCACCTATTGCAAAATGACTATTGATGGAATGAGTCATTTGTAGCTTTTTATCTCCCAATGACTTTATTGAACTTTCATATAATTATTGTACAAAGTCAGAATATAGAGTCGAAAAAAAAAAGAGCAAGATAGAAAGCTGTTACCCTTGGTCAACTAGACTAAGTGTGCAATTAAGAAATATCAGATACAATTTACATAGAGTGCATGACCACTAAGAACCATTTAGAGTAAAAACATTTATCACTTTATTTCAATTTACCCTGTGAATAAATTATTGTTAGCTTGGCCTTCACCTTTATGGTGATGTTAAACTCGGTTCAGGTAGGCTTACAATGAGAAATGATATAGATCTTGAACAAAAGGCAAATTCTTTTGGTGGTGGCCCAGAATATTAAGATGTTAAATGGTATTTCAGGGTTGTAGATAAGAGCCAGCAGCTGGCGAATTACACCGGCTTCTTTGCAAGGTTTCACTGGCTACTTTCATTGCTTTGAGAGCCTGTACAGAGATGATGTTTATCAGGTCTAAACTTGGGCTCAATAAAAATATAAATTTGCAATGCCTATCTTTTCTGAAAACATAAAAAGACTTCTGACTCAAGGTTAGTTTAAAAAACATTCTGATGGGGACTGTCTTTTTGACAAATCTTGCTGTGGTGGCAGGAAAGTACGAATGATATGACATTTTGTCCACCATATTGGATTTCAAGATATGAATACCATTTACTCTTTACCTTTTTAAAAAAAGCTCCGGCTACTTAAAACCTTAAAGAAAACCCTGGTATTTGATGTGGACAAAGTAATATGTGGTTTCATGTCATTTCATCGGAAACAACCAATTGTCATTTTTACATCTCATTTAGGTGTAAAAAATGGCTTAGTTGTTTTCCACAACTCTACCAAGCTAACTAGTGCTCCATTCACTCCTATTCTTCAAGATTTGAGATATATATATCTCCTCCTCACTTCCATGTTTTCCTTTACACAATAGATAAACTGTAGCATTGCAGGGGCAGATCACACACACACACGAACACACACAACAACCAGTTGAGAAGTCATAAGTAACCCTGTAGTTGCCAGAATTTTAATGCCACACAAGAAAAACAAAACCCACTTGTCTGTTGGGGTGGAAGGTCCTGACCACTCCAATCCTCCCTTGGTATCAGTTACAGTATTGCTACTCTGTGAAGAGAACTCTCCCTGACCAATATGTCTGTCCATTCTCATCACCCACTTTCTTAGTAATGTATTGAAAGTGTGAGATTCTACATCTATGTGTCTATCATTTCTGGAGAACTAAGAAAGGTGAGATCTTGAACAATTTATAGTGGATTGATAAGTAATATTCCTCCATTGCATTAAGACTTGTCTGTGGTACCAGAACAGTTCTCCAGAAATAAAAACAACCAATTTGCCAAAGACACCCTAGGGATTCAACTTCATGTAATGCAAACATTGTTAACCAGCTACAGTACATCAAAATCTCACTATTTAGTCCTGGTAAGAACATATATTCCTGCTTTGAGACCTCCTATGTTGATCCACAAAGTCAAATCTTTCTTCCACTGTCTTGAACTGTTCACTGCTTTCCACATCACCTTCTTATCCTGAGTCAGAAGTACAGCCCTTCCACTTCCTACTGAACACACCCTGGCCATTTCCTCCAGAGCTTTGGGATACAGTTTCCAGTTTTCATGCTTGGAACCACTTCTCTTCCCAAAAGGCAAATCAGAGATGAATACATCAATGCTGTTGGCCTTCAAGGGAAGATTGCACACATCCCATTGAAAAATATCCAGGGGAAGAGTCTTCCTGCATTAAAAAGTTGTGGAAATGTTAATCTCAAGTAGTGCATACTGATCACAGACAACCTAGCAACATTTCCTAACCCTTTTTCTCTCAAGATTTCATTGGAAATTCTCCTTTCGTCTGCCATACAGTTCTTATGATGTTATTTCTAAGAATTTGGTATTGGATCAACTAACAATTCCCTAGTTGATAATTTTCTTTATTCTCATCACTCAATACTGTATAGATATTGTAAGGAGAAATTCTGTCTTTGTCAGAATCTTTGTTCACCATTTTCCACTACTATCTTTGAAAATGTTTTTTTTTTTAAGGGAAAAGATTGTTATTGGTAATAACCTAATATTCCTTATATTTTCAATCTATAATTAATGATTTAATTATAACCATTCTCAATTGTTTGGCAGTCTTGAAGTACACAGTCTGTACAGCTGAAGTACTTACTTTTTTTCCAACTGTAGTTCAACCACATTCTGTACATTAGCCAAGGTCCTGGCAGGAGCTAATTCGTGATGGTCTCCGCACAGGTGAAAAGATGTGGGCCAACTGAGGGAAGCCTCTATAGGAATGGAGCCTCCTCCACACATTGGATCACACACCACATCACCTACATAAAGAAACAGTAATCAACTCAGTTTCTCACCTCAGTTGTTTTGAATTGGCAACTGTATAGAGTTTCTAAGATTGACATTTCCAGTGTTAGCCCTGTAAATTAATTTGTTCAGGTGTCCCTGACTCAAGTGTGTTCCTAAATTCCAAGAGGATCTTGGTACTTTAGTAGCTACTCTTAACAAGTTGCAAGTATGTCCATTGGTTAGAATGAAATATGGAGAGGCAAAATTAATTCTACACTTAGGAAATTAGGAGAAGAGAAAAACATATTTCCTAAAAATTGATCATGAGAGTGACAACCTCCCACTTCTGCATGCTGCAATTAACATGTTTTAAGCTCATAAATTAAAAAGAAAAGTGAAAGGTAATTAATAAAGAGATGTTCTCTACCTGGCTTAATATTTGCCAGTGAAAGCATACAATAGGCTATTGATGACTTTAAGTTCGTTGGACCAAAGTGAGCAATATTCCGTTTTCCTCTACTTTCCTTAGTCAGGGCGATACCGATGACAACACTGTTGTCGACAATGTGTAGAAGTACTTCGATGTCTGGATGGCTAAGGTCTACTCGCCAGCCAAACCCATCGTTTATTCCACCACCAAATTTAGCTGCAGCCTCTTGGGACGAGAAGCTATGGTTATTGCCAGTGCGTGTACATGTGACACGGAATCGCGGTAAAACCAGCTGATCTGCAACCTCTAGAGGTTTGGCGTTTGTAGATGTCGATGTTACCCCAAGATCAACACTTGAGGGCAAAACAGTTTCTTCAGAATCATCCTCCTCACTTGCCTTCGGCTGTCCAGAATTTTCATTTCCGTGTTTCATTCTTTTCACTGGAGCTTCACTTTCATCCTCCATCTCTTCGGCCACAGACTCGTCACCTTCTTTCGAGCTTCCTCCACCATTCTTTACAGTTACAAAACCATCGCGATTGCAATTCAAATCATCGTTTTCGTTTTTAAAAATTGCTCCCGAATATCCTTTAAATTGCTTCCACATGAAAAGACTCGATTTCCAGTCAAGAGCTTGCGGTAGTTTGTAAAGCTTTTCAAGAATATCTGGACTGTGGCAATCAAAGCCTTCGCTACTGTCTTCTTGAAATTCCTTGACTACGACAAACAAGTGCTCAACAGATCGTAAGGACTTCAACTGCATAAACGAATTCGTTGGAATGTCAAAGTATATACGTCCCCTTCCTTTCCTTATAGACTTGCATCCTAGCTTTTCTTCGCACTCCTCTGCGGCCACGGACTCCAAACCGGTAGTCACCGTTGCACATATATCAACACTTACAATGTCCGCCATCTTGCGCATGAGGCAGGCTGTAAATGCTTTATGTAATACGCTTGTCACGTACCTCTGGAGAAAAAACATGACAACACTAACTGCATGGCGTTTGGAGTTGCAGTTCACAAGCCAATGTTTCGGGCAAAAAGGAAGAAATTGTATTTATGGCGTAATAGGCAATCTATCCCTTTGCTCAAATATTTGACTTCTGTTGATAGATTACTGTTGCTTATTTGAATCCTAAAGTTATCGCACCAGTACCGCTGGACGCCTCAATTGTTAAGGACCTTAAGTAAACCACGACGGCGTGGGTGGTGGGTGGTGGGTGGTGGGTGGGGTGGGGTGGCTACACAGGCTACAGCAGTGCAGTGTAGCAAAAATGGCCAAAAACTATAATCAAGACTGCTCTGGGACAATTCATTTATTCATTTAAATTTTTGTTACAAATGTAACAGTCTATTTAAAGATCTTTCCCTGGTTAACATTTTTCCCGCCAAAATCTCCTTCCCACGCCATGTACTCATTAACAAGCTTCTTGTGTTCTGGATTATCTGCATCCAATTTGGTAAACTTGTATGATGGAGAGTCAACTGCCCAGTCATCATTCAGCTAAAAAAGAAAAACATTAAATTTTGGTAAATGGAAGGAGGAAGGGTCAAACATTTTATGGGAAACTATGGTACAGACAGTTGTGGAATACAACTAAGAGCAATTACCTTACTACAAGTTTCCCTACATGGTGCCCCTCATACAAGTATTAAATAGATTTCCACACAATTGTTCAGTCCACTACTCTATAATACAAATAATCATTGGGGCTTTTTACTTGGATGCAATGCAGCCTATGAATAACAATTTTTTTCAGTTCATATAAAACAAAATTAAACAAATATCAAGCAATGAAAAATTCCTGAAATTGCTTTTCACTCCCTGTTTCCAAGGCCAATTTATGCTAAGGGCAGTCCCTGCTTATCAGTGAAGTCCATTAGCAAGTATTTCACAAGCCTAGCCATTCAAAATTTTGACCTCCTGTGCATTTTAATACAAGCTCTGGGAGGGTAGTCAGGCATCAATGTTAAACAGCAGGCAGGATTTATACAAACTGTTCTAAAAAACAAAACAAAACAAATATAGTGGAAAGAAATTTTAAAACCTACATCAAAGGCAAGCTTTTGCGTGCGGCAGATCCAAACGCCCGAAATAGAGATATTTCCATCCTCTCCAAATATAATTACACTGGCAAATGCTGTCTTGCGAAGTTTCTCTAAGCGCTGGAACATTCCACCAACCAAGTTACAGGACATAAAGATTCTCTTCAGTTCATCATCATACATGTACTCTGCCAACCAAATGGAATAGTCTTCCTTGTTAAAATGTTCCCAAAAGTATGGGATGGCCTCAGTAACAGTGTCTTTGTTGGAGTACACACGTTTAAAAGCATCCATGTCAAATGAGCTGAGGAA